GACGCACGCGGCGGGCAGAAGCCCAGCATGGCACAGCCGCGGGAGGGCGAGGATGCGGGGGAGGAGGGGAGGGAGGAGAGGGGAGGGAGGGCAAGTTGGGTGCGCTCGCGTCATGTCTGGCGTCATACCCCCCCCATCCCTTACCATGGCGTAGACCTCCTTTCCACACTGGCCGAGAACACGGAAATGAAGCCAAAGATGAGACGGGAGCGCCGTTTTGGAAGAGCAGGAAGTGCGGAAATGGAATTACAAATGAAGCCAGATCGCTTCGGATCCGCAACCAAGAAATGAGGTCAGCGCCGAGGAGGAAGTATGATTTGAAAAGAGGGCCAGCCAGAAAATGGAGCCGACGCTGTAGCGGGAGGTCTATTCTGGAAGCGCCGAAAACGTTCGGATTGGAAAAACAAACATGTTCGATCACATTCGGGAGATCCCACGTGTACAACAAGAATACGCGGATGGGGGCAGGCCATGACAGCGTCGTCGGCGTCGGGGGCGAGAGGAGACTAGCATCCATATTGTGCAAGGGTGGAGGATGACATCGGAGGAGAGGTGGGTTGGGGAGGGGAGGGGGAGGAGAAGAGCTGAAGAAGCAGCTTGCGCCACATTTGACATCCTTCCTTTGCCACCCATCCTTTCCCACTGCGTTGATTTGCTCATCATCCGTGAACGCGTGTCATAGCAGATTTGGATGGAACTCCTAAAGAGACCCCATCGTGTCATACGCAATCGGAATAGGGCAGCTGCGAACAAGGGAGGGAGAAGATGGCGGATGAACAGGAGGAGCAGAGGGATGAGAAGGAAGGATGACGAGGAAGCACGAGGAGGGAAGGTGATTAGAGGAGGGGGAGTGAAAGCCCCAGCCTGGCGGGTCGAAACAACACCTTGTCAGAGTGTTCTTGCTATCTTCGGACTGCGGGGGCTCTTCCCGGGGACCGTACAAAACCGTTCCGAGGAATGGGGTCGAGAGGTCCTGGGACGGGCGACTCGACAAAGTCGATCCTTCTGTAAAGGTCTGGGCAGGAGGAGGAGGAGGACCAGAGTAAACCCGACATGCATCAGGGATGCAACATTCCCTCCCGTCCCAAGTCCCCTCATGCGTCTCTAAGGACATTGCCTTTCCCTACAAGAAGCGCCCTATTGCGCCGTTTATTAAGAACAACTCCATTGCCTGTCATTTTGGCGATGGCCCAGTTTTGAAAGGGAACTGCCTCACATCCGTCTGGCGCGTGAGGGAGAAGGCGGAGGAAGGAGTGCCAGGGAGGAGGACGAACCTTCCCGAGCCGCCCAGAACCTGTCGCGACCTCCCGAAGCATTGTAACATCTCCTGGGGTTCTCCTCGTCTCAAGGGGAGAGGAGGAGAATGGATGGAGGATGACAGGTGATGGAGAGGAGCGAGGGGCAGACGAATCCAGACCTCTATCTTCATCCCCCCCTTGCTCCCCTCCCTCCCCAGAGGCCTGACGTCACGACGAATGGTCACGTCGGAAATTTCACGACCAGGACCCTTGTCCTCATCTTCCCGCTGCATGCTGCGAGCCGGATCGACCCGCGAGGATCCCGCGGACCGACATGGATTCGCCAGGCGTGGAGAGAACGCGACGCCAGGATTTCGGGGTCCTCCCTCCTCTCAGGGCTGGCCCGTGAAAGGAGGCCCCCCCCATGTAATCTCCGAACTGACCAATTGTTGAATCTCAGGCCTCCTCTGGATCGACACCCCGCCCAGGGAGTGCACTGGCGTTGGAGAGCCCGCCCCCTACCGCCACTTTCATCCCTTACGTTGCATCTTTGGGGAGCCTCGCTCGTCCCCAATCACTGGCGTCTTTTCCTGTGCCCGGCGCTGCTCGGTGTGGACTCGACGCGGATTTGGCGTGGACTCGACGCAGATTCGACACGGATTCGACATGGATCCGGTAATCGGAAACTGGAACATACACATTACCAGTGGCGGGTTGTTTTTCAATCCCAAGACGTTTTGAGGGTCGGGGACGACGTCGGGGTGGTGTGGTGTACACGTGTGCCTTGTTTGCCAAGGGAAACAACGGAAGATGTATACACCAGGATCCTGTATACACCAGGATCCGCGTTCTTGTGGAAATTTTGGCGCAGGGTCGGGAAGAACGTCGGTGTGTAGAGTTCGTTGCCCTAGATAAGTCCGACATGGAATTGACACGGATTCGACGCACGGACCGCGACGGCACAGACGAGGTCCCCCGAAGATGCAGCATAACCTTCCCTCCCCTCCTCTGCATAGCGGGCCACGAGGGTCGAGCTCCCCTCCTCCTCGCCCCCCGCCCCCCGCGTTGCAGGGCCCCTGTGGGGCAGGCCTCCGAGGCTCGCCTTTTGATCCTCGCCCAGGGCACCCAGACATGCGTTAGATGCTCGTCTTGGGGACCCTCCCGTGGCAGACCTGGCGGATCTGTTCGACTCCAGTTCGACTCAAGTTCGACTCAAGATCGCTTCAAATTCGACTCAGGTTCGGCTCACGTTCGACTCACGCTCGGCTCGACTCGGCGGATGCTCGACGCAGCGTCGACGCAAGAGTGGAGCGAGTGGCTCCAGGAACGCCCCCAGAATAAGCATCCAACATGCGATGTCTTCTTTATCTAGTGCGGGGTCCCCAGAAGTCAGAAGTCCTGACTCCTCCCCTGGGGCCAGGCGAGGGCCCCCAGAGGCCGAAAACGGACAAAAGCCTCCCGTCCTGATTTGTTTCAGGAGGGACAAGACCACACAGACACAATTAATCGTCGATCCCCCGGAAAATATGGAAAAATATGGGAAGTGGGGGCGAACTAAGAAACCCATAAAATATGAACACATATGGGGAATCCTGTTATTTGTGTCTATTTATTTGTGTGTCCCACGGCCCCCAAAGCCTCCCGTCCTGACTTTTTCTCCATGTCGCGGGCGGGCCTGCGCACAGCCAAGGCGCTGAAACGAGGCTCGGAAGGGGCTCGGTGTTCGCCTTTGGTCCTTCCATGGCTGCTCGTCTGGCCCTGCTTGTGCACTGTCACCCTGCGAAAAAACACGCACGACACGGAAACAAACACAGGAAATGGCTGTCCGAGCGACGGGGAGTGGTTGTTAAGTGCGGGGTCCCCAGAAGTCCTGACGCCTCCCCGGGGGCCAGACGAGGGCCCCCAGAGGCCGAAAACGGCTAGAAGTCTCGCGTCCTGACTTTCTTCAGGAGGGGAAAAGACACACAGACACAATTCATCGTCGATTCCGAAGGAAATATGGGAAAATGCGGGGATTGGGCGGGAAGACAAAAACCCAGAAAATACGGGATCATTGGGGCATCCTGTTATTTGTATCTATTGATGTATGTGTCCCAGGGCTCTTTCACTTACTTGTCCCATGACGCGGATAGGCCTGCGCACAGCCAAGGCGCTGAACACAACGACCGCTCTGGGGGCTCGGAAGGGGCTCCACGTTCGCCTTTTGCCCTTTCCAAGGCTGCTCGTCTGGCCCTACACACTGTTCATTTCTAATTATTCGAGAGTTCTTTGATTTCTGTTGGGGGCCAAGATCCTCTCATTTCTAGTTCTTCCATCCTGGGCCTCTTTCTGGCCACCAGGGGGTCAGGAAGAATTAGAGACGAGCACAATTTGAAATGAGCACGATTAGAAATGAACGACGTGCGCTTGTGCACCGATGCCCTCCTGGTGCCAAAAAGGGGCTTCGTCTATCGCTCCCCGTTTCAGCAGCCAGGGTGCATCACAGTCGGACCGGGGAATCAGATCGAGGTCAGTTCAGGGAGGGTGCTCCAGTGTTCCTCGTCATTGCTGGATGCTCTTGTGCATCCTGGGGAGGGTTCCCTTGGATGTTCTGTTTGTTTTGGCCGACGGAGGGTCTCATGATCGTGAAGGATGTTCCTCTGGACTAGGGCCCACCGTAGTGGCGGCGGGCGCCGCGGAGCAAAAGAATCAGTTACCCCCTGTTTGTGGGACCCTGGCCCTTTATTAAGGCCGCCGAGAAAATAGCTAGTTGCCCCCTGTTCTGCGTGGGGGTCCAGAAGACCTGTCCAGGTTCTTCCTGCAGCCAGGCTGCAGTGGCGTGTGCGGCCCCGCGGCTCCCCCCCCCCAGGAGCTGGCGGAGGCGCTGGCCAGCGGCAGGTGCACGCCGTACGAGCTGGGCGTGCTGCGGGGCCCGGAGAGGCGCGGGGCGGCCGCCTCCGCGCGGCCGGGCGGCCTCGTCATTGGCCCCCCCTGGGGAGGGGCGAGGACGTCGACGACGACGACGGCGAAGATGACAGCGACGCAAGGGAGAGGGAAGGTGGGGGAAGAGGAAGAGAGGAAGAGAGGGAGGGAGGGGGGGATGGAGGGAGGGAGGCCCTTCCTCCTCCCTCTCTCTCTCTCTCTCTCCCTCCCCTCCCGCTTCTCTTCCTCTCTCCCTCCCCTCCTGCTCCTCTTCCTCATCCCTCTCCTCCCTCCCTGGGAGGGAGAGAGGGGGGCATTGGGGTGGCTCAGGCCCCCTGGCCGCACCCCCGTCGAGGGAAGGAGGGATGGAGGGAGGGAGGGAGGGAGGGAGAGAGGGAAAGAGGGAGAGGAGGAGGAGGAGGAGGAGGAGGAGGAAGAGGAGGAGGAGGAGGAGGAGGAGGAGGAGGAGGAGGAGGAGGATAGGAACAAACGGGGATCACTGATCCAAAGCTGCAGGAAGGCGCAGGAGGAGGAGAGGAGGGGGATGAGCCAAGAGGAGTGGGAGGAGGACGAGGATGACAACGGGGATCACTGACCAAACTGCCAGGTCTGCGAGCGGGCCGCCATGAGGAGTTTGAGGATACCAAACGGGAATCACTGACCAAAATCGCCATGTCTGCGAGCGGGCCGCCACTGAACAGTTCCTCAGGCGAGTCATGAACAGGTCGAGGAACTGCCAATGGGAGACGCCCAATGCTTGGGGCGCACCCCAAACGGCAGCCAGTTATGGGGTTTGCTGGATGCGAGAGCCTGGAGGAGGAGGACCCTGAGACCCTGGCGTCGCATGACTGGGCCTAGGCT